CCCCCCCCCCCCGACAAACAGAATCAACTCTTACAGGACCAAATTCAATGCACAATCCCAACTCCTGATTGTAATACATTTTTGCTAAAGCAAGGAGAACTCAGGTAGCTCAAGCTACCTTTCGTGATTTCTACTCCAAAGCAACAAGAGAACTCTATGTTGAGATTCCATCAGAAGGCAAGAAACCAGAAGATGGAGATGTGGTAGGAAGATTGGTCAGAAGCCTTTACGGCACCAGAGACGCACCCATGAATTGGGAGCTGACCATTGCAGAGTTTATGAAGAAGGTAGGATTTGTTCAAGGCAAGTCCAATCCATGCATCTACTACCATGCATCCAGAGAACTTCGAACAGAAGTGCATGGAGACGATTTCACGACAGTTGGAAGCTTTGATGACATCAAATGGTTTCACACTTCAGCAGCCAAAGAATGGCAAGTTGTGGAACGAGGCATTCTCGGTCCACCAGGTTCACCAAAGGCAAGCCAACAGATCAGAGTGCTGAATCGCATCATCACCTGGTCAAATGAAGGCATTTGGTGGGAACCAGATCCAAGACATGCAGAGTTGATCATCAAGTGGTTAGGCACTGGTCAACCAGGCAAGGTCAAGACCCCTTTGGCCAAGCCAAGCCAAGAGGAACTCCAACACGAAGAAGTTCCGCTGAGTGCCGAAGATGCAACGATGTATAGATCTATTGCTATGAGAGCCGCGTATTTGGCACAGGATCGACCTGATCTGCAAACTGCAACGCGCTCATTGGCACAAGGTCTACAGAACCCAACATCGAGGCACTGGAATATGCTGAAACGATTGGCTCGATATGTCAGGTATCGACCAAGAGTTGCACAGTTGTTTCCAAACCAAAGCACCTGCAACCCCTTCAACATGTGGTCAGACGCCGACCATGCAGGTTGCATAAGGACACGAAAGAGTGTGTCAGGAGGCGTGCTCATGGCCAACAAATGCTGTCTCACAACATACCGCAAAGGCCAAGGAGTTGTCTCCCTGAGCAGTGGCGAATCCGAGTACTACGGACTTGTTTCTGGAGCATGTCAAATGCTTGGAATCGCATCAACAGCAAGAGACTGGGGATTGTTTCCCAGCAAAGAGGTGACAATGGACGCTTCCGCTGGCATCGCCATGGGAAACCGTCGAGGCTTGGGACGAGCTAAACATGTTGACACTCAATACCATTGGGTACAAGAGCGTACAGCAAAGAAAGAGTTTCGTCTCAAGAAAGAAGGCACCGACCGAATGTTGGCCGACGTGCTAACGAAAGCTGTCACCGAAGAGAAAATGACTACAGCTATGAAAGGCATGAACTTCCACTACCTGGAAGGTGAGCATGAACTGACTTTGAAAGCGTGAACGGCTTGAGCTAGAGTAGGTACTTCTACAAGACCAAGATGTACTGAAGGGCTATGGGCTAATTCACTAAAAGTGCTAATCCTGACTCGGTTAACATCTCCCAGAAGTTAAACTCGGGAGGCGTGATCAGATGTAGCACCAGTTACATGTACATGACATAGCTTGTATAGATGTATGTTTCACTGCAGCCGTTTGTTCAAGTTTGTGGTTTACTTTTGTGTTCATTTCACTACCAGAGCTCACGCTTGGAGTGGAGCTAAAAGTGTGCCTAAGCTTCTACTACAACCTTTGGGACAGTGACTTGGGGTCACAGAGTTTAAGAGCCTAAATTCTCCGTTCAATTAACATAAGTAATATATATATATATATGGTGCTGTATTAAGTCTACACATGTCTACACTACCATAGAAAAGGTGGTTTGCAGGAAGTGAATTCGCTGCAGCATCCACCGACGCCAAACGCCTACCACAAAAGGCCCGGACAAAACCACTTCTTCGCGCGCGCGACAAAATGCCACACGGCCACACCCATGCAAACGTTCGAACCCCCCAAACACCGGGCACAGGGACCGAGGCGCCTCCGCCTGGACGCCTCTTCCGAAACTCCGGAAGTACTCCGGTGCATGGTAGGGACCATCCGCAGCCGCGCGACCGTCCCGTTGGCCCACGCGCCGAGCTCCCTGGCATACAAAGCTTGGTTAAGAGTCCGAGTCCAAACTCTGTGCCACACAGTTCAACCAAATTCTCCGAGCCTAAGCAGCATCCAGCAATGGATAACAAAATTTGTTACATTAGAATACATTATAATACCGTTATACCTACACAGCGAAATACTTCGTGATCAAAACGAAGGCTTGCGTGTTCGCTTCCATGTCGCACGTTCCGACCGACTCGTCGCTATGCTCGTAACCATCGAAAAAGCCTCTTTGTGTGTGAACGCACATTTTGGGACAACTCATCCTTTTGGGAAGGAAACCACGTCGGATCCCCCAACCCTTAGTCGAAGCATGTGGAAGCCAACCCTTCCCCCATGGCTTCAGACATCGCACAGTCCCGCGGCCGACCTCAAAATCCCGTAGCCTCAGATCGCAGGTGCGGCTCAAGCCAATCCTCACAGGCGAGGTCCGTTCCGTCGGTCCGTCGGTGCTTGTTCCAAGGCGAAACGACCGGACGAACTCCGATCGTTCCGAAGAGCAAACAGCATGGATGTTGCACTTCCATGTTGAGTCGGAGAGTAGCTCTGTCCATATCCAAAGGGCGCCGCATGTTGGGCTGGGGCGTCCCAGAAAGGGGGGCGACCCCACTTCCTCTTTTGGGTGAGCTTCTCGCTGGCTGAATGGGCCGACGAATTGCCCAACAGCTCAGAATAGAACAACCAACGATTGGCCAAGTGGGCCTAACAGAACTGCATCTAAATAATGGGAAGCTTTTGAAGGCTATGATTAAAATCATTAATACATACTAGCATGGTCATATAGTATAATCTAGTTTGGGGTTCGGCCATCAAGAAGAACTGAACAGGTACCTGATGCAATGAAGTGCACTTCTTCCTATCCAGCCAGTCAGTTGAGGATTCAAAACACATCGCTTCCTACGCCATTTTGGGGGCTTGGTTTGTGAACAAACCTCAACGCGGTGCTAAACACGATCAAAACTATATACTGTAGATCTTTCAATTGGCTGGCTGCCAGGAATATATAGTCCTGGAAAAATCAAGTGGCCTCAAGTTGAATCATCATTGGATATCTTTGGATTTTTCTGACCCCAAATCACCCCTTGATGCTGATGACACACGGCAGCACGCCGCAAACTCAAACAAATGGAATATCTTCGGACCTTGAGCCTTGAGCGAAGGCTCTTGGCATCTATGCCCATGCCCAAACATACAGTCATGGCCCAAACAAACAAGGCTTTAGTATTTTGATAGGATGACCTGGCGACCAATGGATTTCGTCTGATTTATTTGGTCCAAGGTCTTTGGGGGGGGGTTCCCTATCCCAAACACTAATGGGACTGCCAGTCCGGACGGCCGAGAAACGGCCAGGGTGGGCAGGTCTGGGGCGGCAGTACCGATCCGAACCCCCCTGGCGACCTCACACCGGGACACTTCCAGGGCGCCAGGTCGAAGTAGACCACATCGGCGGAATGCAAGAAACACAAGGCCTGCTGGCAAACGGCTTTCTTTTTCAATGGCGGAATGCAAGAGTGTTTGTTGGTGCGTGTGAGAAAATTGCCTATTTGAGCAATTCATGGTGATCCCCGCACCTACTGGCCCTCATAATCTCGAAGTCCAGGTGGTGACTTTGTGTTTGGCCAGGCGAACAAAGCCTTGGGGCTGTTAAAGCACAGTGTCCTGCCTCATTGGGGTGCCACTTGTTCAGTTCTGAAAACCTCTGCCGGCGATAGCGTTTTTAGGGCGATAGTTCCATGTTTCCTCGTGTTACATGTTCAACTAGCCCGGCCCGCTGGCCAACTCCATCCAAACCACACTACAGGCGCCTCCCCCCCTCCAATGGATCTGGTGGAAGCCCGACGCCCAAAACGACGCTTTTTTGGGGGATCACGTAGGTTCCCAACGTGACCGTGGGACGAAAGGAAAGCGAGTTGGTACCCGGCACCGCACCTCTAGGAGTTGGTATGTGAAGAACATGACGTGTTCTTCGGTGAGTTCCTGACGTTGGTCTGGCGCCACATGAGTGCGGTCAGCAACGGTCCGGCCCGGACGTCCGAAGAAGATGAGGGACCAGAACGGCCTGGTGGACGTGAAACATCTCTTCAACCATACGGTCTGTCCCTCTCACTTCCTTGGTTTTTTTGGGTTTGGCCATTTAACATGTACACACTCTAGCGATAGCCATCAGGCAGTTTTCGGAATACCTATAGGAGGCAAGTTTCGCTCCTTGAGCCGTGCTTTTGGGCGAGCCCCAGCCGGTCGGCGGCTCACCCAGGTTCAGTTGGCAAGCGGTAGACCTTACTTAACGCCCGTAAGCATGCCATGAGGGAGCCCTCCTTGTCTGCCATGCAAAAACACATATATACCGTACCATTGAACAAGAAAACAAAAAATACACATCTGCGAATCTGCAAGGTATTTGTCCCAATCAAAGTGCACCTTTCAAGAACCTTGAGCCCTTGAACCAACAGTTGCAGCGTTCCTAGGTGAAACATACCCTCCAAGCTGGTCACGCCTCCCGGGTGGAGGCTCACTGTTCTTTTCTTGTATTGACTTTGTCTTGGCACCTTTGTGGGCTTCATGTACCACTCTCACGCTCGCTCCCTCTCCCTCTCCCTCTCTTTAGTCTCCTGTTGGCTCTGTAGCACTCGGTGTAGGTTGGTGTCCATGCATCGCATCATCAAGCATAAGTGATCGTCACAGAGTGGTGGCACTTTCAGTAGCTCCGGCAAGTTTGGGTGCTCCAAGTGTTGCATGCAGAAGATCTCCTGTTCTTCAGAACACATGGTGTCACATGCAAAGGAAGCCAGGGCCTTATGTTTTGGGAGTGGGTTTTCGGGGTGACCGTGAGCTTCTCTCTGGCATCCTAAGCTGCACTCCTTTCACCAACTGATGGTGGGACCTCTTCCACCCAAGAGCGTGTTCAGTGCGGAAGCCTGCGGGCCCGGACCTGAAAGGTGTGAAATTCATGGCCGAAAGGGGCGAAGGACGTGGAGGACGTGGACCACGTCCATCCCAATGCAACGTCTGATTCTTTCTTCTCAATCAGGGTATGGAGCACCTTCGATCGATCGGTCTCCGCGAGACATACACGTGTTTTGCCCGTGCTTGCCTTGACCAAAGTGGTCACGACGTCTGGATTTCTTCGGCCATGCTCGTGGAAGATCACCTCAGCTTGTTCACCGGTGAAGGTGTCCCGGAAGCGGAAGGAGTGCTTGGCGGTTCCTGAGATGCTCGGTTCACCGGAGCTCCGGTCGGACAGCAACGGGCTGAGCGCTTCCGTCCTCGCTCAACGCTTCCTGCGCTGCTTCTCCTTCTTCTTGTTCTTCCTTCTTTGTTATTCATTGCTTTTTTCGTTACTATTGTTCTTTTTATCGTATTTTATTGCTATATGTGTTTCTTCTTATTGTTATTAAATTTAGAATTATCTTTGATAATATAACTGTCTTTGTCTTCGTCTTCTTGTTCTTCTTCTTCCCGCATTACATCGACCATGGGAGCGTGAACATGGTATTCATGAACATAATCATTCATTGACATATTCTTGAGCCCCACCCAGCCAGCGAGGATTCCGCTGCTCCAATATATACTTCTGTTTGTTTCGACCACTGAGGGAAGGGGGGAGCCATTCAAACTCGGTTAAGTGAACGATCCAAACCCGCTGTAACGATGGTTGAAGTGTTATTTATTGTTGACTCTTGATGATTCCATGATTGCTTGAGTTTTGTGAGATTCTGGCTGCCAAGTGCGTGTACATTATGGGCACCCAAGAATCCTGAAACACTGCTATGACCCACACAAGCCATAGAGAGAACGTTGCCTTAGCTTCTATCATTTGGTGGGGCTCTAGGCATGAGTTAGTGCATCGTATCCCGCACTAATCAAACATAGGTGTAGACCAAAATACCCAAAGTGTTTCATGGATGTTTTGTTGGCGGCGATGCATTCCAGGCGTCCACTCATGAGTGGTCTCTCCAGTTGAAAGCGATGGGGAAGTTTCTGACGGAAGTTCGGCAGATCCACCTGCCGAGCAGCTCGAGCAGTCGTCTTTGGACCGATCCCCTGTTGTCGTTATGCAACTTCGGCAACGTTCACAAAATAAGGAGGTATAAGGATGTAAAAAATTGAATCTGGGAGCACTTGGACGGGGACATGATTTGTCCAAAAGAAACCACTCTCATCAAATCTGTCATGTATCGCACATTTCACAATAGGTCGTTCGTGTGATTCTTCACTTCTTAAGTCATCCTGATGTCAAACACACAACTCCTTTTGGGCCAAATTTCGCGCGCGCACACACACAAGGTCAGAAATTATCCAAACCACCGTAGCACCTAAACCGCATGTAAATGCAGCATCCAAACAATGTTGTTGACCTGATACTCTTCCACTTAAATTGCACTCTTGCATCTAAACCCCAATGTAAACGCAGCATCCAGACGACTGTATACAAGACCACACGGCTTGACACGGGTACTAGTATGTGAGGATCCCAAGCAACCGCGCCCGGGCGCAGCCTCCACAAACATCTCATGCACCACGACCGTCACCAGCGTCTCCGACTCCTCGCCGGCCCCGTCCAGCTCCAGCGCTGTTTGGAGGTCCGCGTCGTAGCGGGCCATGACCTCCTTGGAGCCCAGGAACCTCGAGCCGACCGCCAAACGGGCGCTCAGGTCGAGACTCCTGTGGTAGGGGGGGAGTTGCAGGGAGTTCTAGATGTATAAATGCATGGCATGATTCACTGTATGATGCTGGTAGCACCCAGATGTACAGTAAAACCCGGTTACAACAACAAGTCTTACTACAACTACTTCTACTTCTACGACTACTACTACGACGACAACCACCACCACCACGATAACAACAACAAGGTACAAACAAAAACTGCAGCCCCGTTACAACATATCTGCTTCCTTGGTCTCTACAAGGGGGTGGAAACAAAAACTGCAGCCCCGTCGTTGTTTTTTAACCCCCCCCGAAAACAACCAGCCAACAAGTACTCTCACCAGTAGCGGTAGTGTTTGTACTAGTGCTAGTGCAAACAAACAAGTACTACTGGAAGCAGTAGTAGTAGTAGTAGCAGCAGTAGTAGTCGTAGTCGTAGTCGTAGTAGGAGGCGTAGTAGTAGTAGTAGTCGTCGTCGTCGTCGTCGTCGTCGTGGTGGCGGTGGTAGTAGTAACCGGTCAGCAAAGCCTCTGTAGAAACATCCTAGTAACTAAAACTGAAGCCCCGTTGTTGTTTTGCCAATCCCCCCTCAAAAGGTGTTGTTGTCTCTACCCCCCCCTCCTAGAAACAAAGACTGCAGCCCCGGCGTTGTTTTTTGACCCCCCCTCCAGAACAACACCTCAAAAACACTAAACATGAACCAGCCCAGACTTCAGTGAAACAAGTGCAACAAGCCCGGGCCCAAGACCAACATTCGCTCAAACCTTCAACCGTATCCCTAACCGTGCCCCCTTGAAGTTCCAAAGTTACAACATGTGACAATTATGTTGGGCGGCTGCTTTTGTTTCTACCAACAACAGCAACAACAACAACTACTACTACTACTACGACGACTACGACTACCACTGCCACTACTACGACAACAACAACAACAACCAACTACTACTACCACTACTACTACTCCTACTCCTACTCCTACTGCTACTGCTGCTACGACCACCACCACCACCACCACCCCTACTGCTACTGCTGCTGCTGCTGCTACTACTGCTAACTGCTACCCCTGCCGGTATGAATGAATGCACACTAGCTCCCGTCCCATAGGTTCTGGGCTGAACCGGAGGCCTGCCTTCGAAGTTTATCATGTTTATCTAATGTGCCGGGGTTCAATGACATCTTACAGGCGATGATGAACAAAATCTAAAAGAAAAAGGAACAGGAAAGCTTTCCTAGGTGACTTTCGGTTTGCATGGTTTGCAAAGGTTCCCAGGACCCCACGAATTCTGGCAAACCATTCCCTTACTAAACTTGTCCCTGCAAGGGCCTTTGTAAAATAGGAATTCAAGACCGTGATCTTCCAAAAATAGGAGAAGGCAGCCAAAATCCGGTGTTCCAACAATGCCACCCTGCAACCCTACCCCACGGAAATGTCAACCCCGAAACCACGCCCCTGCTCCCAGAAATCCGCCGCTCTTTCCGCCGAGTTTGGGCCGCGCGGCAGGCGCTGCAGTCCAGCAGGGACCTCCAGATGCTCCTGCAGTTGTTGTCGCAACGAGGCCAAGGTGCTGCTCTCCGCCAGTCCTCGGACGAGAGCTCCGACCGGGACGGACCAGAAGGGGTTTGGAAGGATTTGAAGGGGAGGCCACAAACCATGGAAGTGGAGTTCACCTGTTGGCAGAAATTTAAAATGGTCATCCAAGGGGACATGTTCCCCTTCCAGGATTTTTGCAGGGAGTCTACAATTATATGCATGAACCATGATGAACTGATCCCTTCTATGAAGTGCAGGGGGGCATATGCACAGGGGAAATCTCTTGTCTGAAAGCCTGATTTGAGGTGACTTGGGGCGAATCTCGAGGTGAGTTTGCACTGGTGGCATTGGCTCTGGAAGTCGGGATCTTATTCATGAACTGGAGGATGAAATCTAACTCTAATATACCTAGACCTTCATGTCGGGGTACCCAATGGAGATCCACAAGTCGTGTAGGGTATTCCATTGGAGACCCCTTTCAAGGTGCAGGTACATATACTCTAATCAAAATCGCGCTTCAATGACTCCCTCCCTGGCAGTACTGGCCGAACGGATGTCCAAACAATGCACACGGTGGCAAACGTCCAAAGCTGTCACTGGAAAAGAAAAGGAAACTGCCGAAGGGCAGTTGAAACATGTTAAAAAGGATTAATATGGATTACATTATAAATCTTGTATATATAATTAGGGATATGTGCAAAAGCCACCCACAGTCATGCGAACATCCTTCGCCAGCCCAACTCACTTCCAGCACACGTCATCACCTCACGCAAGACTCTTAGCTCCACCTCCTCTCCACTCGCCAGCACGGCCCGCACCAACACCATGCGTTCGGCCGCGCTCTCCGGCTCTGGCTCCGGCCGTGGGCCATCCAGATCGCTAGGCTCAGGTGGCCCAGCCAGGACAAGGTCCATACTGAAGAAATAGACTTAAAAAACATCCGGAGGGTTGGACTCATGGAGAGGTTTCATAAAAAAGGCATACCTGACAAAGAAAGCCTGAAGCTAGGATGGCATAGACATACCGACAAACAAAGCCTGAAGCATCTTGGCGCTTCATAGGAAAAACACCTGGAGTTGCAGGGCAATTGAAGGATTTAGGGTCTAGAATGCCGCCCCCTTTGTTGCGATGGATGTGATATTGGCCCATAGTGCAGTGGAGAAGAATTCGGACTGTAAGTACGGGTGTGGTCTCCCGGTCGTGCTTTGGTTTTCTACACGCCCGCCCAAGCTGAAACAGCTGCATCCGAAACCACCGGGGACTCCTGTTGTCTGGAATCGATTCTTCACTCCAGTTCTAGCCTTGCGCAAGCGCCAGACATCGACAGGCTCGTCTACCGGAGGAAAATGGAGCCAGTTTTCTCTGCGCATTCACCTAGGGTCTCTTTGGGTCTCTGTTTCACCCGTGCTCATCTTGTCATCCATTCCGGGCTAGCCAAGGAGGCGCATGTGGTCCTCTCAAGCCGAAACATACCCCCCCCGCAGACTATCATGGACCCTTGGATCAGCAGTGGTTCTGGGAGCGATGTGTATACCAACATATATCCCAACCCTCCCAAAGCGACCGAGGTGCATGGAAGCCCACATGCTCGGGGCCACCGAGGCGGGTGAGGTGTCCCAGCAAGGCTGCCAGCTCTGGAGGACCGAGCTTCGTGGCGATGATGTAGACACCATCCTCAGCTATGATGATGATCCTCATCATGAAGATGAAGATGAAGAACATGATGAAAATGATGAAGATGAAGATGAAAATGAAGATGAAGATAAAATGATCATGATGATGATGATGATGATGATGACGATGATGACGATGATGAAGCTGATGATGGTGATGATGATGAATGGGTCAAAATCTGCAGCCCTGGCGCACCGGTAGGTATCCTGGTGCCATGACCTGCTGGAGGCAAAACAGCATCCACCGCTTATGGAAACCCAAAAACATGAGCCACAGCTACAGGGCATGGTGGACAGAAAGAAGGGGCAAGCTTGGGGTCAAAGGTCTCGGGCACCATCCTGCCACCACGCCCAAAAGTCGATTACTGCCTCACTCTCCTGCTGTATGACCCTATTACACCTGCGCCCACACGATCTGGCCAAAGCTCCGAGGGCACCAAGGCTTGCTGCACCAACTCCAACAAATGTGGCAACATGTGCGGAGCCTCTTCTTGAAGCCAATCCCAAATCCCAGCCTCTGAATCGACCCGGCGAAGCACCCGAGAGTGTCTTCACTCGCATGACGCGTGTCGCACGCGCCGAGAAAAAGGGTGTGGCGATCAGGTGTGGTGCTCTGGATTAGGATCTGTCGAAGAAATCATCCACCACAGTGCTCACCACCACCCCTGAGAATGAGGCACGGGTTATAAAAATGACCCTGCAGGGGTTTTGAGCCCTTACTGATCTGCCAAGTGGCGAAATATGGAGAAATGGTGTGTGCAGGGAAATCTAGCAAGGCCAGCGCCCTGGTGGGCATGGGTTATTGAAAACTCCGGCCTCGTCAGCCCAGCCTGAAGCCACGGTCATTGGAAAAAGCGGGGGCTCCGGCGCTCTACGTCGAGGCTTCGGACTGACCAACCCCCTACCGACGACCGACCCCCAACCACATCACCACTGTCACCACCAGCAGGTACGAACCACTTCTTTCACAGCGAATCCGCCTGGCGCCAGTCACCCAGCTCACCCCGACGACCAATGTTTCTACCCCACCCGGGGCCAGGGGCACCCTGCCACCCACCGCGCCAGTCAGCGCCTTATCCAACACGGCGCAAAAGCGGCCCTTCGGCGGTGGGGCGCCCTGAGTTAGGAAGTCACGGACCTGGAAGCTGAAGCCTCGCAGCGGCGAGGCAAACACGGTCCGGTCACGGGTCCGACCCAAGCAGCGATAGCGGTGTAGGCTAGACACCAACCATTTGGAGTGTAAAATCTCTTCATATTTGGATATATTTTGTGTGTGTGTGGGGATTTTTGTTAAAAGTAGTTTGGTTAATCAAGAGTCTACAGTAGGTGGTGTTGTTGATGTAGGCCAGTGGGCAGTCAGACGTGGGCGACTGCCGCAGTATGCTGAATAATGAATGTATTAGTATACATGCATGTATATTACAATAATAATTTACAATATATGTATATAGCTGGCATCAGCTCGCCTCAGCCTCAGCTGGGTTTGATCATTTGATCTTTCACCTGAACTCATCAAACCCTGAAAATCTAACAAATTCAATCAAACGGATGGAAGATGATGGAGGCTGCTTCCGCCAAACGGACCTGTGAAAACAAAAAATTGCCCCCACCTAAACAATTGGAGCCCAGTGTCAAGTCCATGAACAAAAGAAAAGCACTGAGCTGGGGGAAACAGAGTTTTTGCTTAGCTCCTTGGCAACCAAAATCGGGAAGTTCTGCCCCATTCGTTGATTGAAGAATCCATCACGCCATTCGTTTCAAAGCATGGCATGCCCCGCTCGCCCCGTACCGCGGCGCGCCTGGCCACTGCTCGGCCGGGTAGGTGTCGCGCATCCGGGCAATGACCTGCCGGCAGAGATGGGTCGAAGGGGCAGGGCCTGGGGCAGGGTGCCGCACCTGACCCATGAAGGGTTGACGTTGGCATCCCTTACACCTTGGACCTTCAAAGGGGTGCTCAGATCCCTAAGTAGTGTAGTCATGGGTAGTCAATTGGAGACCCCTTTGAAGGTGCTAGTCCCCCCCGGACTTGACCTCCCAGAGCTGCCAGAGCTGCCGCAGCTAGCCATTGATCACCAGCTGCGAGTCTTGTGTGTAGCCAGTCGTTCAGTCTGAAGACAAAGTGGAACGAGATCTATATTATGAACGCTAACTCCTCAGACGTGCAAGAGCCAACAATTTTGGGCAGATCGCTGTGCTGGGATCGAATCTCTCCTTTTCTTGGGGCCTCCCATCCCACATGCACTGCCTCCGGCGCAATGTCGATGTGCTCTGAGGAGGGAAAGCCTGGAATGTGTCACATCTTGAGCATCTGCGACTTGCAATGCAGCATCAAAACCCCAAGCAATCCCAAGCACCAGTCCTTCTAGGATGGTTTTCGGGGTGCTCACAACATGCAGTTGCAATCCACCTGCCAACTTGCCCTTCACAGAGAAACCAAACCTAGCAATGTCCAAAGCCACCCAGTCACATCCACATGTGCGTTGAACATGCAATCCGCACTCTCCAAGTACACATCTGACAGATCTAGACAGCCCGGCTGCCGGAGGTACAAACCCCAAATATGTCGTCCTATGGTTCCTATTTTCCGCTTCATTGGCTCTGCCAGGCATCTACCTTTGACATGCTTTGACAACTGCAAACCACCCTGGAAGGGAGTAGTGGAGATTCAACGACCACCTAGTAAAAAACAAGAAACACCCATAGGACTTCTAGATTCTAGTTTAGCTGGAGATCTGTGAACTGGGTCTGAGTCTTCCCCGGCAACGAGAAATGTAGAATTAGGAGCAGGGACTATCCTCAAGCGTTCTTCGTAATTGTTAAACTCACAGGCTCCAGTTACACTACCGCCTATATATATTACTACATATTATGACCAAAGATTCTTGGTCAGTGGCTCTCTCTTATTGCTCCCGCATCCATGTGGCTGCATGAGAAAACTCGACAACTACCCCATGAGATCATCCTCCTCAACAGAAACATCGATCACATTGGACATGGTCAAAACACCATTGCAACAACTGCCACCTCATCTCCCCCACCTCCGAACCCTCCTGCCACCTCGACTCATACCTCTTCATACCTACCTCCTGCCCACCACTCTGCGCGGCACCCGTGCGGGTTCCCCCGCCTGCCGCGTGCAAGTGCTCCGGCACGGGCGCATCGCCGCAGCCCACGTGGAGCACCGGACCCAGCGTGGGATCGGCGTAGGGACGCACCAAGTCTTGCACGAACTCAGCACTCGCTTGGTACCTGAGGTCAGCAGGCCCAGGCCCGCCCTGGGGCGGCGGACGTCTCACTGAAGAACATGGGAAGGCTCCCAGTCAAGGGACTTACTTCTGGAAGCACATTTCTGGGATCCGTTGATAGGATTTTGGGGGGAGGGGCAGTTTTTCCGGTTCCGATTTTTGGTGTCAATCAACATGAGTGGGTCGCCGACCGCGAGAAAAACGCCCACGCAGCAGGCGTAAATGGTCGAGCTGCCAATCCGTGTAGTTGCGGGAGTTGCCCCACTCCCACTCCTGGCGTTTTGCTGCACTTCTTTTGAGTTCCAGAGTGACAAAAAGGCACCAAGGCACCAAATGACAGAGAGTGCAGGGAGAGTAAATGGTTTACAGGGTTTGCACGACGAGAACTGGTTTGGATGGGCTCTTTTCAGCTCTTGAGCTCTCGGAGTTTGGGCAAAATATGGCAAACTCTAAGGGTGGAATCAGTCAAAGAAGGCAGTATGTCATTCGGATTGATGTTCTTTTTTGGGGGGGGGGCTGGCATCTATAACAGAACGTCTTTTGAACGCATTTTGGTTGAGCACTGCATGGCGCTGTAGGCATCTAGACGTGCTTCAGGTCTTAAGGTGTCCCAGAACGACCATGTGCATGGTGGGAATCCCTAAGCGTTGGCCCGTTGACTCCATGTCAGCAGGCTCAATGTGCTTGGGTGATGTAGGGTGTCAAAATGCGTCAAGTACATGGGTAGAGCTGAAGCACTGTGCAAATCCAGCAGATGTGCCAAATGGAGCAGTGTCTCCACATGACAGCGGTTAGCCTTGATATGGCACCTTGATATGGCAAAGCTGCACACCTGCAAACACTGACATACATAGACACCGACACAGAAAAATCACATAAATATATAGAGCTCTCCAGATGTTCGTCATGATATGGTGTTCAACTTGAGGGGCCATTTTCCACGCGTCCTTTCCCGCCCCCGCGGTTCTCTGCGGCTCAGACTCCATTCCCGTAGGCGGATTGATTTGCCGGCCAGATCCACCATGAAGCTCTGCCAAGCGCCAATGCCAGAAGTCCTTCGAGCAGTGAGGGAAGAGTGTTTCATAGGATCTGACTGCATCTCTGCAGCACAGTCACATTGGTGGTCCCACTGTAGGATGGCTATCTTAGCCTATTCAACCAAAACTCAAAACACTCCATGTTTTGACCTACCTTGGGGATCTAGGGAAATATCAATGCAAACATTGCTTGGAATTGAGCATACCCTACTGGGCATGGAACATGGACCTTCGATCTGGACAAGCTCTTCGTGTCTGGGTTTATGACCATCTTCGTGCGTCAAACACACATAGGCCGTGGCTTGCCCCCTTCCCAGAAGGCTTTAGAAGACACCGATGTTTTTGGGGGGAAGTGTAAAATGTTAACTTCAACTGGACATGTGCCGCCCTCCACCATCCCAGGGCCAATGGACTACGGGATCTTGATTGGACACCTCCATCCATGGTCCTCCCACCAGCTGGGCTGGCACTGCTGGCATCCCTCACGCCAGTCCGGCGGTTTCGCGGGTGGAAGCAGACGCCTCGGATCCACTCCGGGCGCCCTGCACCTGCAGGTTCCGCATCCCATCCACCTCCTCACAGGCCAAAACCCCACGGCAGTCAGTATAATAAGATCTATATAATAGGACCTAACAATACAATTAGACTGGAGGGCGTGATTGAATCATATTGAATCATCATGGAATGATCCATATTATGGGTATGATTAAAGAAGGGAGACCTCCCCGTTCGACCTCCTCCAAGAAGGAACATAGACCCGTCTACCCATTAGTTGGGAGGCACCCCCATTAAAGCACAGAACCATATTGCAACCATATTGCCATATATCCCAAACACTCCATGTCCGTCATATTTATAAATATGCCTATATACATTGACCCCTCAAATCACCACCCTGGGGTGTAGGTAAATATGCTATATTATATGCCTACATTGACCCCTCTGGCACCACCCCAGTGTAGGTAAATATGCTCTACATGGGAGTGTCGGGCTATTGTATCCCTCTAGCGGCTCCCTGGACCTCAAGCGACCCCCTGGACTCCACCAGATGCGCCAGATGCGCCATCTGCGATGCGCCGAGCACTCCGTTTGGGGTATACAGTATATGCCACTATCAGTTTCCGAGTCAAAGGCCTCACGCCATCGGAGTTGGTCATTGAAAACCGCTAACTCCAGGTGAAAGGTCCAGGTCAGACCCCCGGGTCAGACTGGACTTGTAGGGTCTTTTTTCCGTGGATGTTGATGGTTAGGTTGCAGACCTTTTCCCTAAAACACCTTGTGGTTCACCTGTTCACCGCCTCGATGTCACACCCAGACGGTCTGGATGTCCAAGCCGTTCGTGCCCTTCGGAGAAAAACAGCCGTTCGGTCTGGGAGTGCCGGACGTCCAAGCAAAGTGGAGGGTGGAGAGAGCGCTCACAAGGCACAGCAGCGCCAGAACAAGGAACTCCCAACGCCTCCGAAGAAATGGTACCAGGATTGATTTGGGGATGGGTCACAACTTGAAGCCCTCATCCACCATGTAGCGAAGGACCCGGAAGAGGTATAGGGTATAGGTCAACAAAGGTAACAAAGGCATGCTGGTTTTGACCCTGTAGCCATTTTGCACGGAAAATGGGTCCAGATTTGGAATTATCATGAAGTATCCCAGGTCTTCTCTTTCCACTACTTGAGCAGGATTATTTTCCGGGGAGGCCCACATGTGATCCTGAATCCATTACGGCCATATCCTGCAAAACGTGGACAGGTTGAACATCATCTGTTCGATGGTTTTTGAATGTTTGTGAGGGCTGAGTGAACTCTTTGCGAAGAATATTAAAGAATCAAAAACTGTGAAAACATGACCAGGCAAGACGTGGATGCTAGTTCTTCTCTTCGACCAAAGCCCCAACATCTCATAACATCCGCAAGAGCTCAGTCCCAAACACTCCAAATCCCCACCAGTTCAATCTTGTTCAATCAAATCTACAGCCGGACCTTCTCGTTGACCTTTTTAGGGTCCCGAAGTGGCCCAGTTTTAGGGGGGCCTAAGTGACCGCAAACCAGGGACAAGCAGGGGATCAGAGGGGGATACTGGGAAGATCCAGGCAGTAGGTCTCAAAAAGTGTCAATGGAATCATCGGGCTTTTCAGGGGATGAAGCCGGCCGAATCGAACGAACAAGCTCGGTTCGGGTGGTTGACCGGGCGCACGGAGCCGAACCGGCCCATCTTTGGCCCAGGCGGGCTTGGCTGCAAGTGGTCGGCTGCCCAGCGAGGTACTAAGGCATCGAACACCCTGGAGCCAAAGCCATGTAGGTCGTCGTGCAGTAAGAGGCTCTTCTGGCTGGCGCCCAACGGACGACAAGTCGCAATTCCTCCTGTCCGGTGGTCTCCCAAACATCATCAAACATCTGAAACTGCCATGGAGTATTGTGGAGTTTCTGAACCCACCAAGCACCAGCCAGTTCCATCCTTGTGGACAGCCTGAAGGATCAAAATGCGGACAGCCCGCCCACCGACTCGGCTTGTTGCCATCGGCTGCACGGAACATCCTGGAAGATGCCAGCATCGAAAGGACTCCATCCTAACATTCAAAACTCTTCCGATTTCGCCCACCGACTCATTCAGCAGGCTGCATCGGACTCACTGAAATCGCTGGATTCAGAGGCTTGAGCTTGAGGGTACCTCTTCACCGGGCTGTGGTAAGTTTCGCCTGGCGAGGCGCAACTCAGTGAACAAACGCAGGAATCTTCAAGTCTTCAATACGCCTGGGCCTAACACACACCCGTGCGGGAAAAAAATGTGTCCTGAAAGCCACTGAAAACCTGAGAATAATCCTATGAAAAATTTCCAATGTTCCATCTTGCAAGCATGTCATAGCAGCCACACGTAGTGATTCCGTGTTACTTTCTCTCTTTTTACTTGAACCACTTTGTTACTTGCTTTCAGCCAAGTATTGGATGATCAGACCATGCAAGCACACAACAAAAACGTCCAAACCGATCCAACACGTATGGCCCAAGGAGGGCTTCAAGCCAACTGGTTGACACACGATCGGTTGCACGGCTCTGTCTCCGAGCCGTGGCAGCTACCCGCTACCCGGACCCTCCGAGTTGCATGGGAAGTTACATCATGTGACCCCCTCCAACCATGGAAGTGGACTTTGGCCTCGTGGAAGATGGTTTTTCCTCTACAAGCCCGGTGGTGTTGCACTTCCATGATTGTTTCGGGGCGGGTACACACCTGGACGTCATGGTATGATCCGAAGGGTCTCAACAGAAAGGATTTTCGTCATGGAGTCGGTGCATCCGCACGGAGGGCCTGAAATCACGATCCACTCATTATGACTTATATAATTCCACCCATCAGGTGCAAAACAATGATATTCCATCTATGGCACCTCTCTCTCTATATATTTATAAACATTCCACAGTTCGGATGCAGTGAATAAAGATTGATAAAGCATTGAAGTGGTCTTTTGACGCAAGAGAACACATGGAAGATCATAGTTCAAGTGGGTCATGGCACGGGGTCCACCCTGGGCCAGACCACTGAGAATGAACAGATTCCTCTGAAAGGGATGTCAACCTTCCATGGTTTGTCAACCTTCCATGGTTTTGACCCACTGCCACATCTGAAATGCCCCTGGACAGCCCCGCCATGTGTGTGCTGGTCAATGCCACTGCGCTCGTGTTCCTCAGGGATCCTCAACTTCATCACCAGCCGCAGCACCACCACGATGAGCGCCGTGCCAAGGGCGGAGAAGGCCACACCAGCCGCAGCACCAGCAATCTGCTTCCCCAAGAGTTCCTCATCGGATCAATGACCATCCATGTTCTACTGGGAGGTACCAGCGTGGCACTACGTCTTTGTTGAACAACCATGGAAACCCGCTTGGAAGAGGATCTTCATCTCAGCAGGGTGGTCTGTCAGTTTTGATCGGAGGCGGAGGCGGCGGCGTTCGCTGGAGCGGCGGCGGCGTCCAGCGGAACGGTTTGGAGCTTTCTCCTTCGTGGGCGTCGTCCGCTCAAACATGTATTGCCCCCTCTCACGTGTTGAATCCAGCTTTTTTGGAGGGTGACTCGGGATCTGTGAAAACCAGGGTGCAATTAATCAGTATGATTCTTGTTGGTGGCATTTCTCCTGACCTTGCGGCTTGTTCAATCAGGATAGTTTGTCACGGCTCTTGCTGGCGTGTTCTTAAGTCGGCGGACGTTCCGCTGAAATCGAAACCAGCAAAAAGTTACTCAGGGAATCTGGAACTGCGGGGCCAGCTTTGAGGGAATCCCACAGAATAAACCACCATCACGCATCCAACCTGTCCCCCCATTTAGAAGCGCTGTTTGACTTGCCCACAACATGTCAAAAGTGCGACTCCACTGAATAGGAATGGACCATTAAATATACATTGTAGCCAGTGAAGCCGGAAACCCTATTTGGGTCAGGAATCATATGTCAGGAGACCCAAAGAGGTTCAAACCCTCAATCACAGGGTCCAAACCAGGCCCAAGACACAAAGCTTCCTGTGTAGATCAACCCGCCATCCAGCGCGAAGATGCCCGTCAAGATGGCACCGCCGATGCCCCCCATGCCATGCAAGCCAAAGGCGTCCAAGGTGTCGTCCACCAA